GGCTCTTCCAGGATGGCTGCTAACCTGCACTGCAAGGACAGCCTGGAGGGGTGTGAAAAAGCAGAGCAAATGAATCCGTGTAACTTTCTGGTTTAGCCCATGACAAAGAACACGCATCGCTCCCTCGTGCAAGTACCTGGGGTGGTTCAGCCAACAGCTGCTCAAGTGTCCATGTCCAAGCCATGGAAAAACTTTTCCTTTCATAGCGAAATACTTCATCTTGTTAAATCTGGCTACCGCTTTGGATGAAGTCATGAAATAGCAATATGATTGCTGACATTTTTAAGAATGGTGAGTTAATGGAAGTATAACATATTTAAAATTGCAATGATATGTATGCCAAAATAATGGCAAATATTTTTTAACCTACTTTCCTGAGATTTAGGCCCACAGATATTTCAGGAGAGCTTTCTTGGGTAGGTGCCATTATAGATTTAAGGGAAACGTGGTTTTGGAAATTTTAACCAGTGCCTAGAACTTGCGCAGCACTTTAATTTTTCAAAGTACTGCAGAAATTTCTAAGTCTCACAGCTCTTTGTCACACCAAGTAAATGTTATCCAAAGAGGAAAACTGTTACACAGCTCTAAAGCAAAGGACCTGGGAATAGTGTGATTTGGAGTTTCTGGCTCCCTTTTCACATGGTCAAAATGCTGTACAAACTTGCGGCTTCAGTTACTTCCACTGTAGAAAGGTGGATTGTCTTTTCTTTTTTTTTTTTTTTTAAAGGAGTACTGTGAAGGGAAATCAGAATATTTACTCCACAGAGCTTTAAGTTGAATTAAGCTGAATTAAGTTTAAGCCAGAAGCTTCATTCTGCATGTAGCTGAATATTCAGGAACATAAGAAATCATTCTGTGAATTCTATTAACTAACTCCTTCATCCCTGATTTCTTCAGCATGAAATGCAAAAATAAACCCCTCAATACAAGGGAATATGCCAAAGATTAAAAAAAGAGAAAACGCAAAAAAAGGACAAAGTTCTTTCAAAGATATCTTTGCAGAGACTGGCTGGTTTTCTGAAAGATGAACTTTTTCATCCTACAGAAAATTATCCCTGATATTGCCTATGCTATTTTAATGTCTCCTCATGACCTCAGGTTCACTGAAAATATGGTTAGGAAAAAAAAAAAAGAAGAAGTTATTTAAAAGCAGATTAATTGAAAAGCAAACCGAAACCAGTGAATGGTTTAGAACTATCCTCATAGACAGGGCATATATTTTGCATAGGAAAAACCATGCTGAGCATGATAATGCTTCAAATGTTGGTGGATTGCACTGTGTTAGAAGGGTGACCATGATATTAGTTCATATGAGACCCAATGCGCTGCATGTGTACCAGATAAACCCCGGGTACTGATTTGGGACATAAGAGACATTGGTGAAGGATGTGTCTGGTTACAAAAGGAAATGAAAGACCCTGGTGTATACAGGGAATATAGCATTGTGGACTACTATAAATAATGTATTTGGAAAGTTTGTGGACAGCATCCTCTGATGTCCAGCACTATAGCGTATTAGGGAAGTTTAACTTAATTCACACTTCTACAACCCACTCCTGTATTGGAATTTTCCAGCTAGTCTGGCCATGGCAGTGAGCTAAACCCAAACAGTGGGCGACAGTGTTGTCCTCCTGCCAGGATGTGCAGAGAGGACTGTGGAGGCCACTGGCCTCTCTCTGCAGCCTGATCCTGCAGGCTCAGTCACAAGGCAAGCAAGGGTTTGGGAAGTGTCACGGATCTGGGTGTGTTCCCTTTCCCTCCAGGAAATCCTGCTAAAGGGGATCATGACAGGTAGTATGAGTGGAATGCTGCAATTTTCCCTAATTTCCATTCCCTGCACAGGCTGGTGTGCCAGCCGGTTGCTCACTATTGCTAAAACCACTGCTCTCCACCAAGAGCTTCATGGGATGGAGAAGGTGGGGAAAGCCCAGGTGTTACAGCACTGTCGACTAACACAGTGGGTAGCATGTGTTCCTGCAGAGAGGATCTAGTGAGCTTCGCAGGGTCACCTAGTGTTACAGACAGTCTTTTAGGAGTTCAGGTTCTGACGTCTTCCCTGTCACCATTAGACACTACACCGATCACAAAAAAACAGGGTCACTGAGCATGTAATGCTTCTGCTGTTGTTAACAGAAGGCTTAAGAGTACCAGGACTGTACAAACAGGTCCTTAAGTTTGTTTCTAGAAAGTATATGTTAATAGCTTCTCAGTTTGTGTTTGATGTCCTTAGAGGTAACTTTGTGCAATCTTATTCTCCAGGTCTTTCACCTCCGCTTTCCTCTTCTCCATTGAAGTTCAGGTGACCATTGGTTTTGGGGGCAGGATGATGACAGAGGAATGTCCCTTGGCCATCACGGTCTTGATCCTGCAGAACATTGTGGGTCTGATCATCAATGCAGTCATGCTGGGCTGCATATTCATGAAAACCGCACAGGCTCACAGGCGGGCTGAGACTTTGATTTTCAGCCGGCAGGCGGTCATTGCAGTTCGAAATGGCAAACTTTGCTTCATGTTTCGAGTGGGAGACCTGAGGAAGAGCATGATCATTAGCGCCTCAGTAAGAATCCAGGTTGTGAGGAAGACTACAACCCCTGAAGGAGAAGTCATACCCATTCATCAAGTAGATATCCCTGTGGATAACCCCATTGAAAGCAACAATATTTTCCTCGTGGCTCCCTTAATCATTTGTCATGTCATAGACAAGCGGAGTCCTCTTTACGATATCTCTGCTGCTGATCTGGTGCTCCAGGACCTGGAGCTCATCGTGATACTTGAAGGAGTCGTAGAAACGACTGGCATCACGACGCAGGCGAGAACCTCCTACATAGCAGAGGAGATCCTGTGGGGTCACCGCTTTGTTCCCATCGTCACCGAAGAGGAAGGTGTGTACGCAGTTGACTACTCCAAGTTTGGCAACACCGTCAAAGTAGCAGCGCCACGTTGCAGTGCTCGAGAGCTTGACGAGAAGCCATCCATTCTCATCCAGACCCTGCAGAAGAGCGAGCTGTCCCACCAAAACTCCCTGCGGAAACGCAACTCCATGAGGAGAAACAACTCCATTCGGAGGAGCAACTCCATGCGGAGAACGAATCCCTCCCTCATCGTGCCCAAAGTGCAGTTTATCACACCTGAGGGGAGCCAGAGTGCCTCAGAAACATGATACAAAGCTCTGTGTGAGGTCAGTGGGCTTTGGAAGGAGAAGGCACCCGTGGTGTTTTGTTTAAATTTTCTTTTACTTAAGAAAATGAGAATCAGATGCAGAAAAGAACCGTGCAAGAACTATTTATTCTACTACTTAAAAAAGCACCACCTAATGGCATTAGGAAACACTTTAGCACTTAGTGTATGAATTAATTAAAAATGGCACGTACACTAAAGAAAACACAGTTCACTCATGTAATATAATGTGTATTTATACTTGCTTTAATGGCATGCTAATTTTTTTAATCTTATTTTTCCTATCCAGTGTCTCTTTCTTATCTTTTCTGCTGGCTGTCACAAAATGTGGGTTTTTTTCTATATAAGTGGGTTACCCACCTACAGGAAGAACTGAGTGCTTTTCAAAACTGCTGCATACAACAGCACCCACAGATTTTGTACAGGATATTTGGATATCGATCCTTTGTGGGTGAATTCCTTGTTCTCTTGAAAGGAGTAGCTAAATTCTTCAATGATTTCACTGGAGAAGAGCCAGGATTTTACCTTCAGTTTTTCAGATCTTTTCTTCCCGTTGGTTTATGGCAAAGGCATTTTGAGAGCAAATTCAGGTCAGCTAAAGTGACCTGACCATCCCACAGGAAAACTGGTGCCGCTCAGCACAGCACCAGCAGAAGAGCCAGAGAAACAGCACGGCCTCTTGCAGAGCACTGCTCTTCTTCTCAGGGTGCGAATCTCCTCTGTGGGACAGTGTGCGTCTGTAACATAGCTGTAGCCCAAGCTGAGAAACTCGAGTCCTCCCAGCTGCCACCTGAGCATCCATTTCACTGAAATTACTCAAGTTGGAAAAAGCACACGCCTCTTTAACATCCTCTTCATATCGGTGGAAGACCAAATCCTGTTTTGTTTTCTCTTACAGATTCGTACACTGAAGGGAACAAGTGTACTTCCTTCACTTACAGTATTTTTTGTAGGATTAAGTCTGTCTGCTTCAGCAGAAGGTTAGTTTTTGCCAGTGGGAATTCATGAATGGGAATGAGAGGGGACCATGCCAATAATATTAAAGATAGTATTTTCAAAACTATCTATCTGAACAATTTTCAAGGGGACTTGGGTGCTGCTGCTGAATTACTATTTTTCAGCAGTGTTTCACATGGCATTGAGAATTGGTGGTAAACAGCTTTTCTGTTAAAATTCAAATGGGCATTTGTTATCTAGAGCCTTTCCAAAAATGTCATCACAGGTTTTTCTACAAAAATAAATAAACGTTTGACTACTAATTGTATCACATTTGATAATGCTAAATTGATGTACTTTTTTCCTCTGTGAATAAGTAGTACAATTGTAGTATAATTATGGACAAATTCCAGTTCAAATTTCTTACAGGAGTTGCCTTATTAAGTCTGTGGCTTAAGAGAAGTACTATCCCTGTGCTGATCTCCAAACCACCTAACCACTTCAATACTTTTATAATTTTAAATATTTGTTTATTCCTATCAGGTAAAATAGTCAAAAGCAATGCTGGATTCTCATTCTCTTTGGAAGTCAGTTCACCAGCACTTGTATGGACAGTTTGCAGGCTTTGTGTGACGTTGGGTGGTGGCACAGAGTAGCTCTGTTGTGTAGGCTCCCTACATTTGGAGCAGGTGCTCTCCAGAAAATAAACACAAAATACTTCATCTGAAGCAGTAGCGGAAAATGAAGTTTCTGCTAAAAGCATTCATTCCCTGGCCTGCCCATTAATGTTCTGGGAGGATGGATGGTGAACATCTGGAGATATTAATCTGTCCATTGTGTGTCCAAACAATGAACATCTATAGCTTCCAAGAGTCGTCACAGTGAAGCATATACAATTTGTCTCTGGCCTCCATTTCCAGGGCTGTGAATTTCTTTGAGGCTCTGTTTGATAAATGGTTGTCAGATGCTGTACAAAAGCAAACTTTCTACAAAATAAAAAAGTGGCAATAATAATTATTTCTTTCCCTTCTTTTCTTTGTATTCTCCATTCATTCTTCTATACTCTTAGTCTTTCTTGTATCCCAGTCTTTTCCATGGTCCTTTTGAATAATAATTTGATATTATCTCAAAACTCTCTCAGTATTTCAGCTGAGATTTTTTTTTTACCCACAACCATTTTTCTCATTTTCTCCTTAAGTACATTCTTCCTTCCAATTTTTATTTTGCCTTCATGTTTCTCTCTGCTTTATACCTAATGTACTCTCTTTCCTGTAATGCTATTATAGAGATATCAGTATTTTGAGGTAACACTAAGGCGCCTCAGTCATATGCAAGGATCCTGAACAGATACGCAAGGCAGACCCTTGTGTCGTGAATGTCATGTTCATGTGTGCTGTGCTCCTGCTCTTTGCAGAAAATCCCTTGGTGCAAAGCCCCTTCCTTGAGCAAGTTTTGCAGTCTTGGAAGAAGCTGGCAGCAGAAGCAGGTGGGGTGAGCCATCAGGCCAGCTGTGGAGAGAGGTGGGGATGTTTTGGGGCTGGGGGTTGCATTCCTCACAGAAGGACAGGTTTCAGACCCAGCTTTGCAGCATCATGCCTGCCAAGAGGGGATGAGCTGCCAGCACCATGGTTCAATATGTTTAATTATTTGTTCTTCCTGGCAACTTTATCAGATGAAAAGGGCTTTATTTTAAATTTGAAGTTTTCTGTGTTTGAAGTACACTGTCAAGTTAAGAATGATAGTTGAGATTTCTATGAAGTACTGCTGACAGTTCATGCTGGCATTTACCCGTCCATCTCTCTCATTGATTATAATTTAGAAAATTAGAAGCAATAATGTATAAGCATCATCTGACTGCCATCCCTTCACACTTATTTGTGTCCCTACCATTCCCATCCCCCTGTAATATGATGTAACTGGAATGGCATTATTCAACATCGTTTATTCCGTGCATTTAATACGCTTTGGCTCTTTGAACAGCCTACCAGGCAGATGTTGCTGGTGTAGCCTTTTGTGGGGAGCAAAACTATTTCCTTAGAGTAGAAAAGTAATTATAAAGTCCTTCCAGGAGAGGCGTAACATCTGGGACTGGACTTTATTTTTTCTTTCTAGGCTTAACTTAAAGAATGTCTCTATTTAAAAAAAAAAAAAAAAAAAAAGGCAGTGAGGCCCTTTGTCCTCTCCTTGAATATCCAGAAGATTCAGGGTTACCGTGGTGGGGATGTAGAGAGCAAACAAACACAGACAGCACTTACAGGGGATATAAAGCTTAATGCTCCAGGGTCGAAGCCAACCTCTGAGTAATAGGATGTGGAGGAAATTTTGTCTGTTGGCAGGTTATTCTGTAGCTGTCACCTTCAGGATTTCTTGCACTCTCTTTCAAAACATCTGCTGCGAGCCAGGGACAGAGGCAGGACCCTGGCGCAAGCGCACCCTGAGTCAGGTGGGTAAATCAGGTCTCTGCAGGAGGGCTGGCAGACTGGAAACGCAAGGGCTCTTCCTTTCCTCTCACCCAGAGCGATGCCATCAAACCCCACAGTGAAGCCAGCCACTAGAGACCCCCAGCTGCAGCCAAGCCTTGCCAGGATGTGCAACGTACGGTCATTGAGTGCCGCCCAGAGCCCAAAAAGTCTGGCTCCAGGGAGGAGCCCTCAGCACCCGTGGCATGGAGGAAAGTGC